TTTTTTTATTATCATTATTTACCTAGGGAGAGAAATATTACTTCTCATTAGAGGAATGGAGTAAATAATGGTGATTTCTCATGTTAGTAGTAAAAAAAATTCATTTGTAATTTATGTTTGCACAAAAAATATTTCAGAAAACAATTGCTAGAATCATTTGTTGTAATTATATTTGGCCTGCCAAAAGAGCTCTAACAATTCTAATTATGTCGCTCTTTTTAATCGAAAGAAACTACTTTATTTAATTTCAAACAGGTTAATGAAATTGCATCTCTAATATTATTTATTTTCCAAATTTTTTACATCATATAGAATTTGTAACCTTACAGCATCATCTGAATCTGCCATACTCAACCTGCGGTCTGCAGCTTTTTTGTGCGGCCCCAAACACTATTATTAGGAAGGTGCTTTTTAAAACTATCGCTTTTTGTTTTTATAATTTTGAGCGAAATGCGCGAAAACATTAACATTAAGCGATAAATATCATGCTAATATTTTTATTGTTTTGCATTATATTTATATAAAAAGGACACTTTTATTTATACCCTCTAGAAGTTCAAGCAAAGAAATTGTGAAAATGCAGGAAAGGAAATCGAATGTAAAAAAATCAAAATATGGTAGTAAAGAAGAACTTTTGGTTGAGTATCTACAAATCACTATGGTTTAAACTATGCTCAAGTGATATCTTTAGGATACAAACTATGCCAAATATATAATATACACGCAGGATGTTCTAACTCTACTTTTGAGAGCTTTCTCAGAATAGGGCAACGAGAGCTATTTTAGGATGTAGCATTCAGCTTATGTTGACTACGTTGAACTGGTTGAATATGGGACAGTTTCTATGTGCAGGCAATGACCTTTATTTTTTAAATAGTAATTAATGTATTGAATTGTCAACTTCTATTTCTTACATACATCAGTACCATACAAGAGCTCCGAATTCTATTAATTTTTGTGTTATAACAAGTAGGAAGGCAGAGTTTAAATTAATCAATTATCTCATGATATAAACTCCCTTTAAAAAGCTAAATTATTTTAACAGTAATTAGTTAAAACTTTCAGCTAAGTCCTCTTGTGTGTTTGTTATTTTGTCATCGCTTATTTATTTATTATGTATTTATTTTCAAATACTCTCTACTTTTGTACATTATTGTAGGTATTTTCTTATTTTTTGTATGAATTAAATATAATCTAATGATCCATATATGAATGTTTTTTTTTATGTTTCTAAAAAGGTTTTTAATCTTCGTGATGTAGGTATACAGAACACAGTGAGATGATGCAGTCCCTATAGTTATATTATTTAAATGTTTATATACAGGGTTGGCCAAACCTCTGTCGTAGTTCTATAACTCCTATTATGCAAATCTTAACGATTTATTCGAAGTATACCTGTCAATGGTGGTCAAAACCAAATATCCCAAAATTATTTTCTTGTGTACAGTGTGGCCCAATAGTAAATTAGGCAAATCACTTATTTTTTTTTAAATGGAATGACCCAACTTTTTTCCAATTTTAGGTACTCTATGGTCACTAGTGCATACCCACAAAACATTGTTTCTAACATCCTACCCCTTTCGCAGAAAAAGAAGAAATACCAAAAAATATTACATTTTCAGACGCCTATTTAAATATGCAGTGCTCTCTCGAATTTGACGTTAGAATTTAAAAAACTACAAATGTATAAAGCCAATAGACCAAAGATTTTTTTAGACCAAGTTTTAATTTTTTATTTTGTACAGGGTGGTCACAAATTAATTTCAATTTCCAAAAATTTCTAGGACATTTTTTTCAAATTTTTCAAATAGAACACCCTGTATTACTATTCATCGATGAAACGAGAATTTTATACCCTTCGACTTCCCCATGTACTTTCCTATACCTATCTGTCGTCGTTTAAAAGTAAATTCCAAAAAGACATTGATCTATCAAAAATCCAATTTCTACCAGTGGTTTTATTGAAAGTGAACATTCAATCAAGTAGGCTAGGTCTTAATGAAGTGTCAGATTATTTATTAATGAAGTGTCAAGTTATTTTTACTGATCGCGATAATTCTTCTATTAATAATGAATTTTACGAAAAACGAATTAATTGACATGGTCTATGTTTTGGGAGAATCCGAGAAATTGTTTATTGGCAAAAAGAATTTATCATCAACGATATCCCGATAGACGCATCCCTGATCAAAAAAGTTTTCAAAAATTACATGAAAGATTTACCGAAACAGGAAATGTTGCTTATAAAAAACCAATAATTGATAAACGTGCTACTGATAATGATAACCAATTATCTGTAATTTTGACAGCGATAGAAGATCCTCAAGTCATAAAAAGATTGCCGAAGTAGTAGGTATAAGTAGAACATCCGTTAGAAGGATTTTAAAACAGCATCAATATCATCCTTATAAAATACAATTGCATCAAGAGCTGAAAGACACCGATTTTGATAATAGAATGGTGTTTTGTAACTGGGCACAAACTAAACTGCAACAAAATCCATTTTTTTTTTATAGAGTGCTGTTTTCTGATGAATCTAAATTCCACAAGAACGGATTCGTTAATAGACATAATTTCCACTATTATTCCACGGAAAATCCTAACATCATCAGAACACATAGCCAAGAAAGATGGAGTGTAAATGTTTGGGGAGGTATAATTGGGGATCATGTTATTGGGCCGTATTTTTTTGAAGGCAACTTAAATGGTCTGATGTATTTAGATTTTTTAGCAAATCATCTTCCTACTTCACTTGAAAACATTTCTCTTGCTGTAAGACTAACAATGTGGTACCAACATGATGGGGCAGCAGCGCATTTTTTACGCGAAGTGGCAGATGAATTAGATGAAAAGTTTCCAAATAGATGGATTGGTAGAAATGGTCCAAAAAAATGGCCAGCTCGATCACCTGACTTAACAAAACCCGATTATTTTTTGTGGGGTTATATTAAAAATCTAGTCTATCTTACGCCACCTACAATACCTGAAAATATAAAAGAAAGGATAGTGCAAGCTTTCCATTGCATTACACCTGATATGCTTAGAAACGTTTCTCGATCATTCGCCCAACGAATAAATGTATGCATTAGAGAAAATGGCAGACATTTTGAGCATTTTTTATAAAATGTAAATTTATGTTTTAGGATAAATTTCAAATAAATTTTATTATCGTAATTTTCTTCCTTTTGAATTTATTTTATAATGGCGACAGATAGGTATAAGATAGTACATAGGGAAGCGGAAGGGTATGAAATTCTCCTTCAGTTGATGAATAGAAATACAGGGTAATACAATTGAAAAATTTTAAAAAATTTCCCTCGAAATTTTTGGAAAGTGAAAGTGAAAGTGAAATTCAAACTTGGTCCAAAAAAATCTTTGGTCTATTGGCTTTATACAATCGTAGTTTTTTAAATTCTAACATCAAATTCGAGAGAGCACTGCATATTTTAATAGGCGTCTGAAAATGTAATATTTTTTGGTAATTTTTTTTTCTGCGAAAGGGGTGGGATGTTAGAAACAATATTTTGTGGGTATGTACTATTGACCATAGAGTACCTAAAATTGTAAAAAAAGTTGGGTCATTCCATTTAAAAAAAAATTAAGTGATTTGCCTAATTTACTATTGGGCCACCCTGTACACAAGAAAATAATTTTGGGATATTTGGTATTGGCCACCATTGACAGGTATACATCAAATAAATCTTAAGATTTGCATAGTAGGAGTTATAGAACTACGACAGAGGTTTGGCCAACCCTGTATAATTGACAAATAAACAATATTATTAGATAGCTACTTTATTTTGAAAATTAAATATTTTGAGTTTATTACCAAATTAAGTATTAAGTATTATTTTTGTTTTTTTTTTTTTTTTAATTGAAAATAGGGGGTTGCTGGTTCAAGCCTCAAATATACGTCAAAAGATGTCCCCCAAATTTTTCCAATTACTATGGGATAAGAAATATACGGGGTGGCTCGTCTGAGATGAAACACACTGTATAGTTGTGATCCGACAGAATTAAACACTGGTCCATAAATACTGCAAAACGATTGGTTAAGGAAATCATTCAAAAAAGATGTAAGAATATTCTTGATTCAACAAAAGTATAAATACATAAACAACACTAAAAAACATTTAAAAACAAAATGTCCGATTTTGAGATTATATCAATGAAGTGGAGAGGGGTAGAATGATAACTGTCAATGAAAAAGTCTGGACACTATGCACAATTTCGTTTTGCCCATTTTGTAAACAAAATGCAGGGACGGTTTAACAACATTTTGTGCAAGAATTATAAAATACGAAATGGAGACAGGCGTAACAAAAAAGCTACAAAAAAGTTACAAAAAATGAGCCTGGTCCGAGCTGGTGCCGCTAAAAATATCCGCTAAGCTAGCGGATCCGCGCTTTTCTCAGGTTCAGTACAAGCTACAAAAGGGAGACTAGCGTAACAAAAAAGCTACAAAAAAGTTACGAAAAACCAGTTGGGTCTGAATCTGTGCCGCTACAATGGAATTTATTGAAATTGAAGCTAGCGGATCTGCTGTTTTTTCGGACCTGGGCAAAGCTACAAATTCGCAAATAGCGTAATAAAAAAGCTACAAAAAAGCTACAAAAAACCCACCAGGTCTTGTATGGTGCCGCCACAGAGTGCCCGCTAGCTTGATAGAGCCCTAACGTCATCAACAAAAATGTTTTACTAGAAAGTGGCTAGAGATATGGAACAGACAATGATCGAAACAAATAAAAAAGAGGAAAAAGTAGATAGATGACAGAGACAGATGACATACATAAACTTTTTAGGTCTTTTCCTTTGCATCGAAAGTGTAGCACTGGGCTACACCAATTCTGAAAATATCGTTCCATATATACAAATTGTATGGATTGAACGATATTTTCAGAAGTGACGTAGCTCAGTGCTACACTTTCGATGCAAAGGAAAAGACCTTTTGTTGTCAACATGTCAACTGTCATCAGACAAGCTAAAAAATATTTTAAAATTTTTTAAATAATTGTAGAAAATGTTCAAAAGAAACAATTTACCCCAGAAAAAGAAATTGTCTTTGTCTACTGAAGAAATAAAAAATGATATTGAAGCAGTATGGTCTTGCGAGGAACAACGAAATATGTTATATTATTGTTTAGATGAAAAACCCCCACTGGAGGAATACAAACTTGCAAAAATGGAAGAGTTTTTAACAGGATCCAACAATTTAGAAAGCGTTCATGAAACTTTAAAAAATCTAGTTCAAGATGTACAGAAGTTAACAGATGAAATTAATAGTAGTGTTAATGAAATTAAAAACAGAACTGCAGATATTGAACTTAAGAGGGAGTCATAATCTTTATATTTTTTGTTTTGAAATAAAATTAATTTATTTGTGAAAATTTCAATTTCTTAAAAATGTATGTATTGCTGTTCTTTTGTATGAAGATAATAACTATTTCGACCACCTTGTAATGTTGGACAGGCCATATGTACCTGCATCACTGGTATTATTCGTTTGCTGCTGGCTCTCTGTAGTTCAATTCAATTATACTTTATTGTCGAAGAAGTACATATTATTGACAAAGCTATAAAACACAGAACACTTAAAACCAAAAAATACAGAAAATGTTTTTGCATATACAGATACTATATCAATTAAAATATAAATCTATACAATATATATGTTATGGTCAAAGATGATATTTCGGTCTTTAACGATATTGGCCGGTCATTTTCGTATATCTCTTATTTGATTGGGCATTTTGCAGACGTTAGTGTCCGGTCAATATCGTCAGTGCCCAATTTACAACACTGCCCATAACATATATATAAAAAAAGGGTATATCAATGATTTGCATCACATATTATGTTTAGTCATTAAAATAGATATACTTAAAATACATAAAACTATTTAGGTACAAATAAAGTAAATCAGTTAAATGAATTCTGAAAAAACTCTTCAAGAGTGTAATATGCCTTCTCCAATAGCAGATACTTTACCATTCACCTGAATATGGTCTGAGTAGAAATACTTATATTTAATGGCAAGTGGTTAAACATTTTTATTGCTATTGTATAATGTGGATTTTTTTTATCAAGGTAGAATTGGGGAGTGGGATACAATACATTCAACAGGTGTATTGTATATAGACATGGTACAAATAGGTATCACTCACATATTTCTTAAGCATTGAAACAGACCATTTCTAAAATATAAAAATGAACCAAAGTTAAGAAACGAAGGCTTACAAGAGTTTTGCACATCAACTTTAGACATAAATCTGACAGCTCTCTTTTGTAGCACAAAGATTTTATGAAACACTTCCTGATAGCATGAACCCCAAAAACATTCCATATCTTAGATGGGACTCAATGACAGCAAAATAAATATCTTTGGTAGTTTGAAAATGAAGATTATGTGCTACTGTTCTTACTGCAAAACATCCAAATATCATTTTTTTTACCTACAGCAAAATAAATATCTTTGGTAGTTTGAAAATGAAGAATATGTGCTACTGTTCTTACTGCAAAACATCCAAATATCATTTTTTTACCTAAATTAATAATATGATTTTGGAATTTTAAGGCCTGACCAATATGTATGCCTAGGAATATATTATTTACAGCCTAAATGTTTTGCTCTCCGAATAAAAAGTCTGATAATATATTACATTTATCACATTTAAAAGTTTGTTTATGGAATGTTTAGTGATACTGAATTTGAGTCAAACCACGTTTTATTAAATAAATATCTCTAGATAGGTATGCACTATTTTCTTTTTTTTTTCGGCATTTGTCGTGGCTTGAAAAACAAAATTTTTTCACATATCATTTTCAAATACTTGTGACTTATATCAAAAATTCCTGTATTTCTTCCAAAACTTTGATTTGAAGGTCTATTTGATTGGACTATATAGTGACTTTTTCACCTACTGTTTTTAAAATTACTATCAGGTTTCACCCAGGGCCAGGATGTTTTCTAAATAATAAGAGCTCCTTTTTTTATATAAACTTTACAACAAAATGGTCATTGACCTAGTACAGCAAGTACAATTTGTAAGGCAATTTTTTCTAATTAATTTAATTATTTAAAAATTAATTCTGATTCACAAATAGGATTGCAAATTGTCAAATTATACTTCGGTTCGGTCCACTAGAACACATATTGTAGATACATCGGTATATCGAATTCGTCACCAGTTTTTCAGTTGAAAAAAACCTACCTTGCTGATGAGACCCGTTGATACTCTCATTATACTCTTTGGTGTTTTGGAAGTTACCAATTTGTAATAAATATGAACCGTCAAAATAGTAGAAAAGTGATAATGAAAAAACTTTGAAAAATTAAATAGGTTTTTAGAAGATATATCATCAAGTAAGTAAGCTTGGTATAAATTAAAAAATTAGTGATAATTAAATAAAACTAATAGATTAACAAATAAACGACCTATTGCCTTTCTCGTCGACAATTGTGTACTTTACAAATTTTTAGTTTACCACAGATTTTAAGATCATTCCGATGGTTTTACCGTTAAAATCACAGAGGTTTTTATTTGATGCTTCTGCGGTTCTTACTCATAAGTATCTACATAAAAAGTAGTTAAAAGAAATTGCCAAATTCTCTGTAAATACTTTTTTATATTAATATCTAAGTGAAATTTCATGTGCATGTAAATAACGCAGAACTCCTATATTTAACAGAAGTATTTGGAGTTAATCCTGCTGTAGGTAAATCTGTTAACATTGACATTGCCTCCCGTCTGACCTACTTTGTCATAAATGGCGTTCCCTGCGAAGGAAAGGAAAAACGAGGTTGGAATGGCATATACCAGAATATTGCAAATCATTCCAAGCACCCAAGATCAATCCAAAGATCGAGCCATTTATCTCAGAAACAGAGGAGAAAAAAGACTCTTTTATGAGACGTATACAAAATGATTTGGGCAAAGGTCTTAGTGTCCTAGCATCGGGTTTAGGTGATCTTATTAAAATTAAACATCTACCAGATAATATAAAGACAATTCTGCCAAAATTCATGGTCCTTGGAAAATTCATAAGTAATGCCCATTTTCAAATTTCTATGCATTGAAGATATCAAATTTACCCCCAATTTGAAGGAAACGGTTCAAAAAATCGCCAAGGAATCGAAGATGGTAAAAATTTTATAGAAAAGTGTAAGGCAAAATGAGATGCAAATTTATAAAAAACAGAAAATACCTTAGTTTATTTTCATCATTATTTTAATTTACCTGCCTTCTTTTCGGGCTATCAGCAGTACCAGTTATTTTACGAAAATGTCCTTAGGGTACAAGAGCTTTATATCTGTTAATTAAAACGATTTTTTGTTACTATTGCTGCGTTTGAGAATCCACATCGGATGCATTTTTTACATCTCGAGCGTTTTTTTAACCACATCGGACACATCTGTCCCATTACATTTACGTATACTGAATCACGTGATCAAAGATTTTTTACATCTCAGATGCATCCGATGTGGATTCTCAAACGCGGCATATATAGGTCATAATAGCGAACAATGACAGTAAAATATAAATGAAATTATATCACTAAGAATTCTTACATTTTGTAATTATAACTAACCAAAAAGTCAACTTTTACCGAGCAATCTTGTATATTTTTGGAATTTATTTATGATAGCAGATTTATGGGTATAATTTTACGATCCTATAAACAAAAAATATAACAATCTCAATAAATAGTGTTATGAAACGCAAAACTTGTAACATTAAAGATTTACATATATTAATTGGTTATTTTTAGTGTCAATTTGTCCTACAGATCAATACGGATTTTTATATATACAAAAATCTTGGAAAGACATACATCTGTGATAGGGTGGGGGGGCGTGTACTATTTTAGAATCAACTCAGGGTTTTTGGGATTCTACAGAATCCACATTTCATATTTGGAGTCATTAGTCGCTTACAACGGTTTTACAAAAAAAAAAAAATGAGTAATTGCGCTATTCTTCTACAAAAATCGACAACACTACCGCTATTTGCTATGTTATTCGTATGGGTGAAGTAAGAAATATACATTTCTCTAGATTAGCAGGTAAAATATGAAAATAGTGTTAGACAAGTCAAATACGTATTGTGTATATTCTCAACTTGTATTCGCTCCGTGCGCGACAGCAGCGCCAATTCGTTTTGGTACTAATGGACTATTTGTGTATACTGACAAATACAATTTTTAATAGAATTCGTAATTAAAAAGTATATATGTTAGTTTTATTAAAAGTATATGGATTTGTAAAACAAGTAAAACATTAATTTATTATTATTTTCCGGGTTTTCCTCACCTGTAAGTCAAATGGCACCATCAATAATCCTTAAGTCGCCCCGGAGCGCCACGGCAAATAATAATAATAGCCGTCCCTTCCCCTACACAAGTCGTTCAGTCGACTTCAGGGGTTGAAATTCACTCATAAGGGGGTGAATTAGGGAGAGTATTATTATTATTATATATTTTTATCGCTTAAATTAAAGAAAATTATGTATAATCAATAAAATATAGACAGGCAACAGTATTTACTGGAAAATGTATGAGAAGTTTCCTAAGTCTAATAAGTTGTCATTGAAGAATTAGCCTATTCTGTCAAAATAAAAAAATACGTACCATTTAATAATAGTGTGAAGTTAAAATGTATAAAAAAGGATCGTTATTTATATTTTCATTTTTTGTTCGAAAGAAAACATAGAATGAATGATTAAAACTGGTTTCCCATCAGTAAGTCACAAAATTGCATTCCAGCCACATATAATAATCAATTAAAGGCAAGAATCTTGAAATCTAGTCCTTGCTGAATGAACATTTAAGAATAAAGGGATATTAAAGAACATTGTAAAATTATAATTTATTTATTTAAAACCTTTCAAGTTCCTGATGTCTACTATTTCCAACATTACTGTTATTATTACAAAAATAAAGGTAATTTTTCTTCTTATTGTACACTTATCCATTTATTTTTCCACTTTGCTACTGAAATTGTTTATATAAGTTTCACTGTTTTTTTTTTGTTAGTTTTTGTACAGTTTTCAACACAGCAACTCCGGTTGCTTATTGTATTGTTTTGACCTACTTTTTTGAAAAAAAAAAAAGTAAAATGTATACGTGTATTTGATATGCCAAAATTACAAAATATCGCCCTAAAATGCACGAATTATCCGCAGCTAGCGCTAGTATCGCTTTTGCTTCCCTTTCCATGACTTCGCACGGGGCGAATAGAGTCATCGCAGAACTTTTTAGCAGACCTTGAATCAAGGTTTCTAAACCTCAATACTGAAATAAGTTTAAATATAATGGCATTCAATAAGATAGAAAATTTTGGAT